GGGATCCGTGCAGGGCCAGGAAAGGAAAGCCTTTGTTGATTTTACTTCTTGATATTCTATAATCACCAGGATTACAATCTAAGCAAAAAAGCAAAACAAATAAACACCGCCCCTCTTACTGGATCTTTGGTCTTTGTCTGGAAAATTATGAGAAAACAACAGATGCACTGATTCTACAACCAAGGCTTGGGTGTTGAAACAGCAGAGCCACTCGGACAGGTGGGGAAAGGGGTGGGGGGTGGGTCTGGACATTGAGGGTTCTGTCGGCTTCAAGTGGGGGTGGGGGTGAGGAGTTCCTGGGAGAGGTGGGTGCCTGTCCTCCAGCCTCTCTTCCGGATCAGCTACTTCTCAGCGGTATGGGGTTCCCTGTGTCCAGCCACTTGCCTTCGCTGGGTCCTGGGGACTTGCCGCGCACGTCGTGTGGGTGCAGGCCCTGGGGCTATGCAGGCTCCCCAGCTAGCCCTCCTCTTGCCCACCCAGAGGTCTTGGGACCCTGGGAAGGCAGTCCGAGTAGAGCCAGACCCAGAGGTGGCTGGTGGAGCCGCCTGATGATCCCTGAGGCCATGGAGGTCTGCAGGAAGGCCCGAGCCTTGCTTGGTGATGCAGGGCCACCTGGCCGGCCAGGGTGCTCGCCTGAACGGGACAGCTGGGGCACGATCCCTCTTAGGGTAGGGCTGTGAGCGTGGCTTAAAACTCATGCCCTCATCCCTCACTCTGGATGGCATAACCTCATCTACTGCTAGCTGGGAAGTGGCCGGCAGGCCTGTCCCCTCCCAGGCTGCCAAGGAGTGGGACCAGGCAGACAGCCACCGATGCGATGCTCCGAGGAGAGGATCCCTCCAAGGGCCCCATCTGACTCCCTGCAGCTCAAGTAGAGCCGAGAGTGGAAGGTCCAGGGCACAGCGGTTCAGAACCACTGTGGTTCCGGGCGGCCAAGGATCACCAAGCAGGACTGGGTTGGCGGGACTGTGGCACAGAGTTTCCGTTCTTCTCCACTCCAAGTTGATCCGGGAGGACAGACTTCCACCTGCCCGGCCCTTTGCTCACACTGTGGCAGATTGCCGGTCCCAAGCTGGTGCTCCCTCAGACCAGCTGCACTGGAACAGACCCCAGAATTTCCAGGAGGAGACATGCTGGGCTTTAGGTCATGTTCACTAGACTTCTATAAACGCCAACCCTCAGACGGGACCCGAGGCGATCACTCCCGGGCCTTGACCTAAGATGAGCGATTCTCGGTTGAGGCCGTGCAGGGACACCTCAGGCTGAGCTCAGCTCCACTCAGCTCCGAATGACTCACACGCAGAACCCTGTTCCCCAAAGTATGTTGGGATGGTAGCGCTTAGCAAGAGACTACACTTCCCAGACTCCTTTGCAACCAAGGGTAACCGTATGACCGAATTCTGACCCATGACATACGAGTGGGAGTATTGTGTGCAACCTCTGGGCCCTGTTCTTGAAAGGAAGAAGCTTGCCCTCGACTTTGTCTTCTCTGCTTCCCACTGGTCGGGACGCAGTTGCAATGGCAGGAGCTGGAGCAGCCATCTTGGACCATGAAAAAGAGGGCAGCACCTGGTTGGCAGAGCAACTGGCCGTAGGGAGCCCAGGTGGCTGATCCCCAACACTGCATCGTTGCCATACCTACCTTGAACTGCTATGTGCACGTGAAATAGCCTTCTCTTTTGTTTACGCCATTGTTCTTTTGGTCTTTGTCATGGCGGCACCCATATTCTAATTGCTACAGGAGGGATTGCAAAAGATGGGAAACATATTGGGAATTCCTATCAGATTCCTTAATTTTCGCCCCCACCCCTGTCTTCTTCTTCTTCTTCTTCTTCTTTTTTTTTTTTTTCCTTTTTCTTTAATTCTGTAAGAGGCATCCCTCATCTGGCAGATGGATGGGAAAAGCCCCCATGAGACCAAACGGCACAATCGCGAGAATCCAGGTAGGGTTCCCAGCATCAGTCTGGCTTAGAGGCCAGCATTTGTGAGGTTCCCGGGGTCCGGGAACAATGAGCCCCCCGTCTCGCAACAGGTGGGGCGAAGGCTGCGGATCAGAGTTTCCCTTCACCACCGAGAAGCACAACATTTTGATTAAACCACTGACAGTTCTGCCGCAGGGCAGAGAAATTTGGAAACATCAGGAAATCAAACTGTGAAGTCTTTGAAGGAATGTGATTTATGTGAAAATGTGATGAAGCTAATGTGTTTGGCTCCAGCGTCGGGTGGCACGCCTGATTTTGGAGCCGAATCTGATGCCTTCTTGGCTCCCCACGCGCCACTGGTCCCCCCGAACGCGGTGCCCTACGTGTGTTCCAAGACTCATCGCGTGCAAGGCTTCGGCTGGAGCCTGACTTCCAGGGCTGTGTTTCCAGGCCGTGTGCATCTGTAACCACAGCCACGCACACACATGCACGCTTGGTAATTGCGCGCGGCTCTGCTCCCCGCCCCCAGACACACCAGCGAGCCAAGTGTTATTAGATTTATGGGGAGTTTGTTGTAGTTGTACATAATTTTCTCGATGCACTGCAGACTTCCAAGCAGGCATCCATGGCTCCCTCCAGTTAAGCATCAGAGGCTGACTCGGGTCTGCTTTGTACCCCCTGGAGTTCATGGAGCTTAATCCCTTTGCCCCTAGGGATGTGGTGTTCCTGTCTGACACGGGCAGGCTCCTGTAAGGGGGGTGTTGCGGGGCAGGTCGAGGCAACGAGGAGAGGAAAAGTGAGCAGACGGAATAGGAGAAGGGGGACAGTGGCAGTGGGGTGGCTTCCAGGAGAAGGACCGTCTGCGTGTGCTAAGAGGCATTTGGGAGAACCCAGGCCAGAGGTTCTGACTGTGCTGGCCACCTTGAATGGCATCTGTTTCCCCGGGAATGTGCCCTTGGCTGCCCTCTGGCCAAGGTGGTCTCTGGAACCTCCCGGGAACCGGTAGGAAACAGTGGCCCCAGCCTGCAGAGGCCCGGGAGCTGAGCTGGGCCCGGCGGAGCGGGCTGGGTACTGTGGATCTTGGTGCAGAGGCTCTGGATTTTTTCTCCCACTTTATAGAAGGGACTGGGGTGCGGAGGGTGACGGGCCTGAGGTCCCATAGTGAAGCCATCACAGAACCAGGACGTGTCCACCTCCCGGTTCCCCGGCTAGGACCGCACTGCCCTGCCCAGGTGGCACTGGTGCCCACTGTTACCGGAACCTTTGCTCAGGCCCCGCCGATTCCCTGTCAAAGAGGAGGCGTGAATGGGCCCTGGGAGAGGAAACCCAATGTTAAGTACAAGCACATGTAGACATGGCCTCAGTATTGAATTGGAAGGGGTGGACAGGCCGGTCTGAGGCGAGGACCCCTGGTGCCGTTGCCCTGACTCCCCGGACCCCCAGGCTGGCCTTGGAGGGCATCTGGGAACAGCTCTGGCTCCCCAGGCCTGGACACTGGGGGGCCTCTGTCCCTTGCTCAGGTCCCTGCGGGGAGTGGCCCAAAGCTGGGCCCAGACACTTTCCACTCAACCATCCCACAAATATTTACAGGGGGCCTTTCACGTGCCCGGCGCTGTGCAGGGCCCCGAGGGATGGTGAGAACAGGAAAGATTCCTGGGGATTAGCCGCTGCGTCCTTCAAGTTTCTGGGTGTTGTGCAGAATACTGAAGGGGCTAGAGCGGCCCCTTCTGGTTAAGCGTGGGAGGCTGACTTCAGTCTGATGTCTTCTGGGAGGTACCGAGGAAGCTGGGTGGTGGGGGTGGGGTGTGAGGCCGGGCCAGTAGTGGGGGGCAGGGCCTGCGGAAGAGGCGACGTGTATGCTGACTGCATGTGGATAAGGTGGGGTGAGCAGAGGAAGGTGGGGAGAGCGACCCACCCTGGGGACACCGGGAGGTTTAAACAAGACGGGTGTGTTACACCTGCAGATCTGGAGGGTTCCATGGGATGCAGCCTGAGCCCTGGAAGCCCCTGGGCCTCCTAGTTCTAGATTCCTGGCAGCAGGGAGCAGGGCCTGGGCGGCTGGGCCGTCGGCCTGTTGGGGGTCTCCCTTCCCTTTATCTCCTGTCTCCGGCCCACTTTGAGAATGGGGGGTGACCCCCCAATCTGAGCGCTGAGGGACTCTCAGGGTTAGCTGGTCACTGCGGACGCTATTGTGCCTCGGCTCGGATACTCCTAGTGATGGGACACTCACGGCCCCCCAGCAAAGGACATCTCAGTTGCTCTCTGTGTATGGTGTCCATCAGCTTCTTCCCTGCAGCCCCCCTTCCAAGGGTAGCACAGATTCTGAGGGACCTGGTGACCCCTTCTCTGAGGTCCCGTATGGTGACACATCTTTGCGTTGAGCCTCAGAGGTCAGTGTCCCAGAGCCCTGGGCCCTGTGCTCTGGACGGGCCTTCTCGGGTCTGGCAGACCTGTGTCTGTGCTTCCTGAGTCCAGGCGGCAGGAGAGGCCAGCGAGAGCCCCCAGCGGCTGCCCATGGAAACGAGACAGCAGCCACTGCCCAGCTCTCCAGACTCACTTGGTGTTCCGCATTCAGTGATCTGCACCTGACAGATGCTTCAGAGAACATCACTTTGCTGACAAAATGAAACCCAGCTAATTCCGGTCATCTGCATGCCACCGAGTCTGGGAGCTGGGGCCGGAGCCTCGCCGTGTCCAGGAGCAGATGGGCTGGGGGCTGGAGGCAGGCCAGCTCTGGCCAGCCCCTCCTCTGTCTGTCCCCGGACAGCCACTGCTCCCCCGTCTGTGGCCCAAGTGGCCGCAGTTCAGGGCTCTCGTGGCCCTGTTCCTTGCTTACGGGGACTTGTGCCTCTGAACCTCGCTTTTGTCATCTGCAACGTGGGGCTGACCTTCTGTGCCCTGGCCACCGTGTAGGGGGCTTAGAGGATCAAGCGAGAGTAGGGTGGGGGTGACGCTTTTGAAAAGCTACGTTCGCTGTCGCCCGAGCAGGACGGCCCCCGGGGACCTCTTCCCCACCTGCTGGGTGCTGGCCTGGCCTCCAGCGCAGGACCCTGGGCCAGGTGGGCCACAGCTACTCACACATGGGTTTCAGCTGCCCAATGAGCTCCTCTTTTGTCCATTTCGCCCACTCCTTCTTGTCGGTGTTGATGGAGCAGAGGATGGGGCCACACGGCTTCCCGCAGTCCTCGATGGCTGGGACGTTCAGATAGTGCACCAGGACGATGTCGGGGTTCTGCGGGGAGAGCACAGAGACTGGCAGCATGAAGGAGGCATGGAGCCCATCCAAGGGTGCCCCCCAGCAGGTGCAGACAGGCTGAGCATCCCGACACCAGGCTTTCTCAACCTGGGCACTGCTGACATTTGGAACCGGATCATTCTCTGGGGTGGGGCTGTCCTATGCACTGGCTTCCACCCACTGGATGCTTTTAAACCCTGCCCCCTCTCCAGTTGTGACAACTACAAGTGCCTCCAGACATGACCCATTGCCCCCTGAGGGGCAAAACCACCCCCAATGAGAACCACATGGGCTGATTTGTGTGTAACCAAGGACCACACACAAGGCCACACGTATCTCTCGTCTGACATCTGGGACTTTATGCCAACAGCTGCCCAGGAGCACTGACCCCTGTTCTGTGCTTTACACGCATCTCCTCATCACAGCGTGCTGGACGTCTACCCCAACAGGCATCATTACCCCCTTCCTCCCCAGGGGAAACAGAGTTCCCAGACGCCCCTGTGCCCTTCAGCCTGTGGCCTTCTCCCTGGATGAGAAGCCCCCTCAGCACATTACTTCTGGGCACCAGGAGAGCCTCTGGAAACTCCTCCTGCGAAGCCTTAAGAACAGAAAGAACTCTGCGTGTGAAGGGCTCACTTTGTCCCCAGATGGTTCTATGGAAATGGGTCAGCCTCTTCCCATGAGAGTCTATTCAAAACGCCCTCGGTCCCTTTCTGCCCACCACCGGCTCCGATAGTGACACACTGAGGGGACTTGGTGGGGACTTGCTCTTCTCTGCAAAGAGCATGTGCCTTCCATGGCTTTCTGTGGCCTTCCAGAAGGCAAGGCCATTTATTTGGGCACATCAGGCCTGACAGGTTTGTTGAAGAGAAGAGAAAAGCAAAGCAAAGCAAAGCAAAGCAAAGAAAAGAAAAGAAAAGAAAAAAAGAGAAGAAAAGAACAACCCAATCACGTCACTTGGTGATGCATCTGGATAAATCCAGAAACTCCTACCCCAATCAGAAAGTATCGCTTAAACCGTAAGGAAATCTATGACAATCTATTAAGATGCCCCAGGGAACCAGGGAAAAAGCCACGTGGAAGGTTCCATCCCATGCTTTTCCCCAGACCTGTCTCCTCTGCTCTTTTCCGAGGGATACCCGACCACAAGTCCTGGGACCCCAGGCACGGAGGAGGCTGGGTCTGTGGCTGCCTTTTTGGATATGGTCAGAGAGAGTAATAAATGTGTGACTCAATCAATGCATTCATAAATAAAGACCCAAGACTGCACCATGACCAGGGCAACAGAATAGACTGGCATAATTTAAAAAGATTTTCAATAAGGTTGAAACATAGAGTTTTTTTCTTGCCAACGCTCAGTTAACCAGGAAATTAAATCAACACGAACAGGAGCCTTCTCGTTAATGGCAGCTTTTCTGGATTGCGGTAATCATGCTCCTTAATAATAATGATAATCCCTGACATCGGCACGGCACTTTATTCTTTTCAGAGCACTTTCCAGCCATTATCTCATTTGGTGCCCGTGCTAGCCGGGGAGGCCGGCCCGCCGGGCTGGGCTGGGCAAGGCTGGGCAGGGCGCCCTCCGTCTACAATGAGCAGACTGGAGCAAAGTTGTGACTTGCCCAAAGCCCTGCGCTTGGCGAGGGACAGAGCCCGGGCTGGAAGCCAGGGCTCTGACTCCAAAATCAGGTCCTGCCAAGACATCTGGTGGCCTCTTTTTTGCCTGGGCTAAGTGCTTTCCCATTTCATATTTCACTTTATGCTTGCCATACGCCCACGAGGTGGGTGGGTTGGGTAGATATGTTATGCTTATCACCGGAATGGGGTAGCCAAGGAGAAATGGGGTGATACACTCAAGTCCCTGCCCTGTGTTCTTCCTATCGACACACTGGCTCCCCACGGTCGTGTCTGGACGAGGGGCTGCTGCCTGAGCCTGTGCCTGGCCAGGTGGCAGCTCCCGCCACTGAGCAAAAGGGGAAGGATCAAAAGTCTGCAGGGGTCGGCAGGCCACCCAGGGCCTCCTCTGATCCCAGCCCTGGAACAGGAGCTGGTCCCCGCGGGAGGGAGCCAGGATGCCAGCCACCTGCGAGATGAAAGGGCCGCGGCTTCCTGCCCCACAGCCCCGCTGAGCTCGGCCTGGGTGCCTGGGGGAGGCTGTGGGGGGCCAAGGCGGCGGGAGGGCAGGCAGGCAGCGGCTTGGGGAACAAAGGGCGGCTCTCACCCTGCATCCAAAGCCCAAGTTTGGGTGCTAGACTGCCTGGGACTCTCCACTTTCAGGAATCTCTGTCTCTTCTTCAGGCCCCAGCTGCCTTTCTGCAAAACCAGCTTCCATCTGTTCTCTGAGGACAGGCACGAGGATCACCTCCTCCTCCAGGAAGCACTCCCTGATACCTTCCCTCTGTACCTCTACAGATAGAGGTTTGTGCCTTCATGGTCTGTGTGCCCCTGCCCCCTCCTTCATCTCCTCAACCACACAGATAATATCCGGCAATGACTGGTGTTCATTTATCATTTGTAGAATTGAATCAGGCTGTCTTGGGACAGTCTTCCCAGACTTGTGTCCCATCGACATCTGGCTCCAGTTTTCTGGGTCTACAAAGGGCAGAGAAGTCTTTCCCAAAATGCATTCCGAGGAGGCTAAGAGGCAAGACTGGTCCTTCCCTTTTCCTGGGTCTGAGGCCTCTTTGAGAATTACAAAAAAGAAAAATTGTTTTCCCCAAAGTTTATTTTTGAGAGAGAGAGAGAGGCAGAGCGCTGGCAGGGGAGGGGCAGGGAGAGAAGGAGACACAGAATATGAAGCAGGCTTCAGACTCCGAGCTGTCAGCACAGAGCCCGACACGGGGCTCAAACCCATGAACCGTGAGATCATGACCTGAGCCAAAGTCGGACTCTCAGCCGACTGAGCCCACAGGCGCCCCGACCTCTTTGAGCATTTGATGAAGGCTGTGGACATTCCACTTCCAGCTTCAAACACTGCCCAAGGCACATCAGCCCTGCATTTCAGGGGTTCGCAGATCCAGTGGTCCTTGCACCCCACATCTGTAACTACCGGCTTAGGGATTCTAGATCCATCATGGCTCCCGTTGGATCAAGGAATATGCCCAACGTGTAGGTCCCCTTCCTGGGAGCCTTTGCTCTGGGCCTGTACTTCTCAGTGGCCCTGATACAGCTGGGGAGAAAGTACCAGCCCCTGAAGGTTCAAGGCGTCTGGGTTTGGGAGTAGGGGACGGGAAGCAGGCAGCATTACCGTCTGTGTCTTCAGCACAGATTCCATCCTAGGGCCTGGGGTTCCTGCTGCTGAAACTGCTGCCCTGAATTCTAAGTGACGACTTCCTGGCGTGGGCTGGTTTTAAGACAGAGAGTGATTGAAGTATTTTTGGAAATTTGGGGCACACATCGCTTCTTGGCAACATTGCGATTTTATTCATTAGTTGTACATTTTATTGGGCGTTTTTGGCAGAAAAATATATTAGCCATAGAGTCCCAATGCATCAGCTTCATGGAGTGCTCATAACAGTGTCACATCCTGGCCGAGAGCTGCTCGCTGGCCACGCAGGGTAGGCTGGAGAAGCGCTCAGCCATGCCCGGCTTGGGGTGGGGGGCCCGCCGAGGACACACCCTGGCTCTGGGAGCCCCCCCCCCCCGCAGGACTCTGGGTTCTGGACCGATGTGGAATCAGCCTGCCTTCGTCTTACTGGGCTGCATGCATGTTTCCTTGGGGTTTACCACCCAGGTCAGGTCGTGTGGGTCGGGGGTCCTGTCCAGAGGCTCCTCCCTGGGCTACAGAACTTCCATGAGGGTGCTTGAGGCCGGTCCCCCCGAGAGAGAGCATGACCCTGAAGATGACTTCCCTTCCCAAATGTCAGAGGCCTGGGGAAGGCAGCCCTATGGGTGTGGTCTGTGGCTGTGGAGGGGAAAGCTGAGGATAAGAGTCTCAGAGAAGTTCCAGAAGCTTTCGGAAAGTGCAGTGGACTAGGTGAGCCCATCCCTTCCTGGGGATGCCTCGAGCTCCTCACCTGCACGTGGAAACAGTGCCCCTGCCCTGCCGGCCAGGCTGCTACCGAGCCCCCACAGGGGCCTCGGAGAGGTTTGAAGTCCCATTTGGATGGACGGAAGTCCTGCCCTGCTAACTACCAAGGGCCGCCAGAGCAGACCCCACACCGAACCAAACTGTGACATCTCCCGGCAGAGTTGACCAGAGTGCCGCTGCAGGCATCTGTCCACTTAAAACGCACGTCTCCTCTGTGGCAGCCCCCTCTGTCCTCATTTTCCTCTTGGTGCATGGGGACTCCCCTTCCTCCACGGGCCTCCCAGCGGGGTCCTTGTCCCCTCCCTTCTTAGTGACCTCTTCCTGCTTCACGGCCCCACAAGCGTTGTATTGCGAGGATTCTGGATTTCTCTCCCCAGCCCCGACTCTCAGCTTGGTTCCGGGCCCACCTGCCCGACTGCCCTGTCGGGGCTTCCAAAACACCCCCGGCTCACGTGGCAGAGCCCCACGTCCACGGGCCACACCTGGCCCACTCGGGCCCTGCCCTCCCGCAGTGGTGCAGGTGGAAACCCCGGGGGATCATTCTTTCTCCTTACCTCCTCCCCCCTCCACAGCTGGCGGGTCAGCGAGCTCGGTCACTTCTCCCACCCACCCTGCTCCCCTGGCCACGTGGGCCCTCCCAGGCCTCCTCACTCCCCCTCTGGCCTCCCTCCCCACCCGCTCTCTGACGCCAGCGGCCATGCTCCTGTAATCCGGGCAGCTCCCTGGCCCAGTGAAGGAAGCCCATGTCCCTGACATGGTTACAGCATGAGTCCCGGCCGCACACTCCCCAGTTGGCCTATTCTCGCCCCGGCTCTTCTCCCTCGGGTCCGTGCCTCATGTCCTGGAAGTCTCAACGCCACCTCCTCGCGGACACCTTACTCTGCGACCCCATCAAACGAGTGCCCCACCCCCACTGTCTCGGCACGCCTCACCACTTCCAATTCTTGCTCAGTGCTCACCCTCATGT